CTTTTACAAAGCTTCCTTTCTATTTTTTTATTTCCTTTTTTTCCAAGTTTGAGATAAGTATGATTAAGCAAGATTGTTAAAATGCTTCATTATGGTGTACGTCTGGATTCTAAACATTCTGAAATCAGTAAATATTCACTGTAATTAGATCCACTCTCGTTAAAAATAGCTGGAGTAAATTCTTATGTTAGTATGATGATGATGGCTATAAGGGATTGGAATTAATTGGAATTAAGCTTGTGCATTTCATATTATAATGCTTTATCTTTTGTGTAGTAAAAATTGGGCTTCATCTATAAATATTGTTTTATGTGATTCGGTCCTCTAAAGACAATATTTGCCATTAATTGCTTTATTGCTTTTTTATGGTAACAGGCCAATAAATTATACAAAACAAATCCCCCTCCCTCGAGGACTTCTTTATTTCTAATTGCCAATCTGTTTTCCAATTAAGATGTTTTCTATTTGGAAATCCAAAAATAAATAATTTTAGCAGGGAACTGTTTATCTGTGTTTTTCAAGATATTAATTATGTAAATTCAAAGAGCTGGTAACAAATAAAAACAAGCATTGCAAGCTGTACTGTGTTATAAAAGAATCATTGCGACGTGCTCTTGTAAAAAGCAGAAAGCTCTGTGGTGGAATTAAATATAAAAAGGATAACCTCAGTGCTCTTTGAGGAAAAAAAAAACTATCACTATTAAAGCTATCGGGAAGAGTTATTAAGTTATATATAACTTAAAAGCATTATTTTAAGTCGAGTCAGGCTAAACAAGTGGAAAAAAAAAAAACGTCCTCCAAAAATTGAAACAAAAACATAGCTTCAAAATATCCCTTGGATGTGCTGCACTTACGCAGCTCATGGAAGTGGCTGTTCAAAAGGATGTAACATATATTTTGTCAAAGCAAATTCTGTTTAAAATTTGCAGCGTTCAGTGCTTGCAGCTGTCGATTACTGGTGCTACAATGGAGACATATAACAACTGGCACTGCTTGACGTTTCCCTTCTTGAAAGTAAACTGTGCAAATTAGGGAATTTTTAGAATCAGAAACCAAAGAAAGGCTTCATCCGTACTTGGAGTTTGTATCCATAAATCCTCCTTTATGGAGGATTTATTTCCTCCATAAAGAACAGATACTTTATCGACTACTTCTTTTGAAAATCTCTGTATTTTGTTATATATAAATATATATTAAAATGAGCTTATTATTTATCTAGAATAGGATTCATTTCATTCTTACAGTAGTAGATAATATACAGTTGAAAATTTGCAAGGGGAAATAATAGCTAATGTAAATGTAACATTCCTCTACAACATGATACAGAATAAGTTTTCTAACTGTTTGAACCCACACTTAAATTCAGGACAATGGCATATCTGAAATAAAAATAACAGAAAAGAAAGTGAATCTCTAAGGTAATAAGTATTTTCTCTGAAGTGTTCTTTGAATGTATATATTCTGAATTTTGCCATCTTATCATCTATATATATATGTATTTCTTATAGTGCAGTCTGTAGATATGATGCAAAATTCAGAATTCTAGTTGACAGAAATTTCACAACTGGATTAAACCTTCGCAAGCAGTCACTGAGTTCTTGGGTGTAAGTTCTGCAATTACTGTCTGCAGAAAAGCAGTCCTTCGTGAAGTTTTCCTACCGTTTGTCTTATGAAATGGGCCTTAACTTTATTTGTAATCTTATTTCTATCACAGCAGCTAAACTCCAAGAGAAATACTGAAACTGCATCCGATCATGTTAGTCTTTAAAGTTGACTTTTGATTTGTCACAACATCTAAATTCTGTGAAAAAAGAGTTCACTGTTGTCAGATAGCAGCTCTGTAGTCATGTGATATTGTTTAAGCTCTCCATCTCTTCTGGGTATGCGCAGTGTTGCTAAATAAGAGTAGCATGGGAGAGGAACATAAAATGTTGCAGAAATAACTGATTTTTTAACAGAACTTTTCTCAGCTTCAGGAATAGTCTACAGAGAAGAATAAAAAAGGTTTCCTAAGCAGTGTCAATGATCAGGGAAAAATGAACTAGATCCAAAACATATGGAAATGAAAGGACTGAAGTAGATATATAATTATTAGTATTATTTCCAAATCATCTGTCTTACTTAGTTACACATTAAATAGCGTCATTTACTGTTACTTATAGGAGTGTTTGCATATGGAACTTTGTTTGCTTTGTGTAAAGGATGATGCAGATTCCCTTTTACAGAAGAAAGAACTGGAGCAATGAACTCTTAAGTGTTTTCTTACTGGCCAGATGCCTACAAGTTCTTTCTCTGAACTATTCCAGATTGCTTCGTTTCTCTATAAGATGCAGAAAGATGAGTAATACTTTCTTTCAATAATGTCCAAAATGAGTTTGTTTTTTCATCACTTTTGTACCATTCCATATCTCTATAAATACCCGCCGTTCCAAGTTCTACATGTTTTCAATGGTTTTGCACTGATTTAGCAACACTGAAGTCAAACCTGAGAGCCTGTTTCTCTGATGAGAGTAAAGCACACACTTCAGGACCTTACTGAATGATAGCGTGAAGCTAAAATTAACTTGGGTGAAGTTTTTCACATGAGCTAGAATACAATACTTTAAGGAAATAGTGGGTCTGTACCCAGTAACAGAGACTATGTTTTAAGTAGAATCCTGCAACGTCTGCAAATCCTTGTTTTCAACATTTATTCTAAAAATCAAGGCACAAGATTCTTCTGTGGTGTCATGTGTGATACATTTGACTGATCGTTCTGAATTTCAGAAGTTGGAACTGTACTCCTGAGTAGTTTTGAACTCTTCCTAAATTCGTGTTAAGCATCGAAGGTCAAAACGAAAGAATGTTTCTAACTAAAAAGACTTTATGGAATACAACCATGTATGTTACCAGAGGCATTGAGTGAAATTCAGGGAAATGAAGGTAATTGGCAAAAGTTGTATCGATTAACTGAGGCCAGAATTTTACTTCTGCAGTTCAGAAGCAATGATTTCCTTCTGTCTGATCTCTTTAAAATTAGGACAATTTGGATGTATTACACTAATAACCTTGTTTCCTTCTGACCATTTTTTCTCTAACAGAAAGTTATTTTTTGCTTCATTTGAATTTTGGAATCTAATATATACTAAACAAGTGTGATTTTTTCATAGCTATTTTCAAAATTGAACTTTAAATTTTGTACTGAATCAGAAAACCCATACCTATTTTGCTTCAAAACCATTTAATTTTTTAAGATTTTTCCTAACTCCTTTCCCTGGATGACAAGAGATTTTAAAGTAGACTCTCTTAAATAAGCAGAGATTTACTGAAGGCTTTCAGTTTGCATTCCTCTGTAGTACAAGAACACTTTGAGCAGTACTAGCTGTTAGATATGCAAATGGTATGGAGTAAATCCACTAAATTTATAATTGCGCTCTTCTATCACTCTTTTAAATGCTACACTATACTTGCGCTTTTAGGCTTGTACAGTTGATGTCTTCTACTTTGTCCTTAAACAAAGCTGGGTGAGATATATTTAATATTTTCAGTTATGTTTCTCTACAATATGGTTGCACAGGTGCAAAGGTGCAAATTTGATTTTGGCACAAAAATCTATGCAGCAGATGTTGCAGCATCCTGTTCTTGATCAGGTGAACAGTTGTTTCTCATACAGTCTGGCTTTTAGCAGCAGCTGTGAACAAAAATCAATTTAAGTTAGGCTATTTGATGGGCCAGTCACTTGTTTGTCAATCTTAAGAGGGGAGGTGGTTTAGGAATTTGCCTAAAGACTATAAATTTTTTGAATTAGCATATAGGACTTGCTGGCTGTATATATTTTTCTGATTGTAATGCCACTGATTAAGCACATCATCTTGTTTGCTCGCATTGAAGAGTTCTGATTTCTTTTTTTGCCAGATACTTAGCATATGACAAGTGTAATGGTAATTCTCAGAGCCACCTGAATGTTTTATTTCCTTCGAAGAAATATGCCAGTTCAAATGCACAGAAGTAGTAGCTGGAGAAAAACTGTTATATTCGTGGTGTCTTACAAATACTTTCTGTGCTGCCATATATCATGATGTATAAAAAGCACTGTACAGTAGAGTTTGGCCACCATGAATTGCAAGGCAACATTCATTGAAAATAGCGATGTCTTTAGTTTCTTCATTTGTGCGCTCTGGAAAGCAAATAGATACGCTAAGGCATAGTGAAAAATGAGATAATAACTAACATCAACATTAGTTTGATGTGACAAACTACATTCTCTTGTTTCTACATGCCTTTGCTCTTGTACTTGAGACTAGCAATATTCAAACCCTATTATATATTCAGTTATTAAATACTGTAACAGTTTATATGTATTCCCACAGGTTATTTTTGGATTATCACAGTGCAATATTTTGTGCCCTGGTCGGTTGAGTAAAGAAACTCTGTTATTGCCAAATCTGATCTCTGAATAGAATAAAAGTTGTGTTTATTTGTTTAAAACATGGGTTTTACTCATGGGGTTGGAGATGTGGAAATGCATTCCAGTTCAAATTCATAATTTCCACGAGTGCTTAGCACTTCTCAGGCAGAGTCTTAATTGTAGAAAGGTACAAAGAAATTTAAATGTGACGTTCGTTGTCCAAGAAACAATATGTACTGTTAGATTACATAGATTTTCTATATGTTTAAAAGTGGTGCAGGAAAGAAACTCTTACTATTTTGTTCCTAAAATATTTGTTTTTTGGCAGCATTTGTCTGGATGTATAGCAGATGTACTATGTATAACCTGAGTACAACTTAATGCAGCACACATGTAGCAAATGAAAATAACATTAATAGAAGTTGTTATTTTAATATGGACCTTTGGGCAAAAGGAAGCAATGTTCTGGTCTGGGCTACTTATGCTGTGATATAAATAGAAGATTTCAGTTTCCAGGACTGTCAGTCTGGCAAAGTTCATTTGACCTCAATTTGTGATGCAAGACTCCTGCAAATAATGGCCTCACTAACTTTTATTCTGTTTCTGTTAATAGGAGGAATGCTTTTTGAATTTAGAGGCTCCTATTTCAAGAGTCTGTGGCTATGACACTCCTTTCCCTCACATCTTTGAGCCTTTCTACATCCCAGACAAATGGAAATGCTATGATGCGCTTCGAAAAATGATTAACTACTGAGCAGTAACACAGGTGAGAAATACTGTTCTGCAATGGTAGTTTGCTTGTAAACTGTTTTAACGGGGTGATAGCAAGGTTTGAGGATAAAATATCACTCCATTTATTTTTTCTTTCACAGGAATTGCTTGTAATGGCTTTGGGCCTTTAGTCTGAAAAGTGTCTGAATATTTTTTAGTAGTGCCACTGAAGTCAGTGTTTGAAATTAATTGCTTTCCTTAATCAGAAAATTAAATTTATTGTATCCTGTCAAGTAAGATCAGATATATTTTCACCAATATTTAAAGACTGTTATTTCACAAGAAAACCGTATTGTTAAATTACATTTTTCACTATTTGGGGTGGACTTGTAATCCTGTACAAGTCCTTTACACTGAACATGACACAGGCACTGCATGACAAAGTGTAGGAAGTGAAAGTGTAGGAAGCATTTGTAGTGTTCTACTATTCTATCCAAATATGGCCATAAGGCTTATACTTTGTTCTAAAATATTTGTTCTAAAAAAACCATTCTTCTATATAACTCTGCCCTGGTAAGGCCTCCTCTGGAGTACTGTGTCCAGTTCTGGGCTCCCCAGTACAAAAAAGACAGGGATCTCTTGGAAAGAGTCCAGTGGAGGGCACAAAGATGGTGAAGGGCCTGGAGCATCTCCCCTATGAAGAAAGGCTGAGTGAACTGGGTCTGTTCAGCCTTGAGAAAAGAAGACTGAGAGGGGATCTAATACAGGTTTATAAATATCTGAGGTGTGGGGGCCATAGCGGTGAGGCCAGTCTCTTTTCAGTGGTGAGTGGAGACAGGACAAGGGGAAACGGCTGGAAACTGCAGCATAGGAAGTTCCGCACAAATGTGTGCAAGAACTTCTTTACAGTGAGGTGACGGAGCACTGGAACAGGCTGCCCAGGGAGGTGGTGGAGTCTCCTTCTCTGGAGATGTTCAAGACCTGCCTGGATGCCTACCTGTGCTACCTGCTGTAGGGAACCTGCTTTGGCAGGGGGGTTGGACTCGATGATCTCAGGAGGTCCCTTCCAACCCCTACAATTCTGTAATTCTGTCCTTCTGTGATTAATGTAATCGCAGAGAGATTTCTATTTGCAGAGCCTTCAGGCACTCTGGCCTATGAAGTAGTCTATTTTTATCACTTCTCTATTGTCTTTGTCTTTGATTTCATTTTAATACTGTACCAGCAGTAGTTGGCTGTGCGGTGGCCAACCACAACTTCAGAAATTATTGGGTGTTCTTACTGTAGAACTCTTGGTATTTAATAATCAAAGTTCAATCGTCCGTTGTGTTCTGATCTTTCTTTAGTGAAGTAAATCAATAGCTTTTGAGATTGAGTCTCAATAAGAAAAAAAGCATGCAGATGACACCATAACTGGCCGGTTTTCTTTTACAACAAAGAGATCCTCTAATAGGTAAAGGAATTTGTCGCTGTTGATGCTGAGGGCCGTGGCTCTCAGGTAGGCCCTATATTAGGAGCGCCCTCTTGTGTCAGTTTTACTCAAAAGTTTAGCTGTGAATTAGATTTAGGGCCAGGGGAGAAAATTGTCAGTACCTTAATGTTAATCTCGTTTGCATATTTACTTTCTTCCAGGATGACTTTTTGCATTTCACCATCTTTGTTTCCCACGGTAGCTGAAAATTGAATTTCTGTATGCAAAATGGGAAATTTACTACACAGGCAGCATCTCCAAAAAATAATATAGTTCCCCATACAACGTGTCTCCAAAATCACCCATTATTGACATCCTATAGCATTTCTTAGTAGAATTTTGTAAACCCTTTTGTAGAGTATGCTGTCTTTTTCAGAACAGTTATTCTTGCCTTTTATCTGAGTTTAATGTATTTAACCTGTGTTGACAGTGCCTCACTTGCAGATAGTTGCTTATCTTGAGGTTGACATTACATACATTACATATTGTTTTCTTGCTCAAAGATAGAGTTTGAGAGTGCATGCTGTATAGCTGCCAGTGACAGAGGCAAGAGCAAAATCTGTATCTTTCAGCAGTCTCTTAGTTATTAAGATTTATAGCTAGGTTAGGTATAAGACAAATAGCTTCAAGGTAGGCATCTAGGTTCCAGACAACTATTTGTAGCTGGGAAAAAAAGATAAAGAGAGAAGAGGCGGTGAGATTAAGATGGTTGTACTGTTTCTGGGTACTGGTGCCTGCCACTCATTTGGGAAAGCAAAAAAGAAGAGAAGAAAGAGAAGAAGAAACAGAGGAAAGCAGACAACAAAGTGTATAAAACACACTCTTGAACACAAATATATTGAGGGGAGCTGTAGAAAATTGCCAAGTGGTTTTCTTTTACCTTTGCAGCTTTATCTACCATGTTTGTGTGTTCTGGTTTATTTTTAAATGGATTCTATAGCTGTTAACAGATGACCTTCCTAAGAGTTTGTGTGCTTATGTAAGGTGATAATGTTTCCATTACAAATTTAGCCTCTAAAATTATCAAGTTATCACACTGTTAACTTCATTATGGAGGTTTTTTCATTGTTGTTTTGTTGTATTACAAAGTTTAAGCATGGTTATTAAAGGTTTAAAGATGCTGTGAATGAAGGAAGGTGTTTTGCATTTATTTTGCTTTTCGAGCACGTGTTTGACGTGTTGTCAGCACCAAATGTCTTTTGCTGAGAACCAGTGCTACAGCTGGGAGAGGCTTGCAAGTGGCAGCAATACTTGTCCTTTCTCAGCCACTAATTTGTGCTGGGAAACAGCAAGAGACCTGTGAGATAGATAGTTTAGTACCTGTTCTCTGCAGATAATTATTATTACCCCTGTTCTTAAGCAGTACCTCATAAATGTTGAAGCACAGAAAAATTATCACTCTTATCCCCATTTGTTGAATAAAATGAAGAGACTGGGCAATACATACATACATAATTAACTTGAGACTAATAACCAGTTCTTTTTCAACACAGAATCCCAAATGTTGTAGGCTAGACAGCCTGCCTCTCGTACTACACTGTCTGTAATCCATAGGATAAACATCCTCCACAGGCTTGAATAGATCACAGCATTTCTGACTGATTATGTTTGGATGACCAAATAATGCTGGATGACCAAAAAAAAAAACAACCACAAACAAAACACATGGAAATGGCCTGTAAATCATGTCTTATTTATCAATCCAAATAAAAGATAACACGGGTCTACTAGTGCTATGAGTTAAGCTGGCTTTTTGCTAGATTGTACCTAAGTATCTTAATCTTGCATTCAAACCTTCCTGAGAATCTGTGTAATCTACTACAGTAAAGGTATTGACTGTAGTTTCTTACAGCACCTCTCTTCAATGTAATAACAGATTAATAGGATATCTAGTAGAGCTCTAACAAAAAACAACACACGTGATTCCCTGCTTAACATTCACATACTAGAGTGGGATGGAAGATACTTTATTGCATAAATGGCAGGAATTAGTATTGTCTTCTCACTAGACATCAGCACTTAATTACAGCATTTCTAATTTTTGCTCTCTTCTTGGGCAGCATTAAGAATGTAATGAAACTTTTAAAACATTAAGAAAGTGCACTGTTGGAGTTTAGACACCTTGATGTTCTGATGGTGTTTACATCACATTGCATAATTAGGCACCTTGATGCAAAGCATCTCCTGGAACACAGGCCATATGAGGAGAGGCTGAAGGAGCTGGGAATGTTCAGCCTGGAGAAGAGGAGGCTCAGGGGAGACCTTATTGCTCTCTATAACTTCCTGAAGGGAGGTTGTAGTGAGCTGGGGGTCGGCCTCTTCTCTCGTGTCATTAGTGATAGGACCAGGGGGAATGGTTTCAAGCTACGGCAGGGGAGATTCAGGCTGGACATGAGGAAGTATTACTTTTCAGAAAGGGTGGTCAGGCACTGGAATGGACTGCCCAGGGAGGTGGTGGAATCACCGACCCTGGGGGTGTTCAAGGAAAGACTGGATGTTGTGTTGAGGGACATGGTTTAGTAGGAGCTATTGGGAATAGGTGAACGGTTGGACTGGGTGATCTTTTAGGTCTTTTCCAACCTTGGTGATTCTATGATTCTATGATCTCCATTCACTTACCTTTACCTTCCTTTTCAAAAATGGTTAGAAGTGGATTTAATCCAAATGTACACCTAATAAAGGATTTTTTTTTTTAATATATGGCAGAGAGCATTATAAATTTCAAAAGGAAGATTACCTTGAAGAATGATAGGTGTTTAAATTGTGGATATTACTTTCTGCCTTAAGATAAATAATTTATTTTGTTATCTTCTTCTGCAGAGCTGAGAGGAAAAGCAGGAAAATACAGAAGTCTTCAAAACTGTTGGCACTTACTAAAAATGATTTTGGAATTCACATAGCAGACTGTTTTCTCTGAACTCAACTTATTAGTATTTATCTTGGCTGTTATTCAGGAAGTTCAAATCCTCGTTAATTATGAAATTAGTGATGGACAGGTGATTGCTATAATAAGTAGTGTCAGATGTATTTAAAGATATTCCAGATGTTTAATGAATGTTACACATTGCAGTGGTTCACAGGGTTACATCTCTAAACTTAATTGTGTAAATATTAGAAGCAGGATTTTATTCAATAAAACATATTATACAGACGTGGTCTCTTGGTTTTGTTATTGTTTTGGGAAATCTCAAAGAATCTATTGGAATTTTGACTGTATTTTCAACAAAATAAACCTTGGACAGCTGGTGCCTCTGGTGTGACTAAGACCCCCTTTAACCTGTTTGGTGAGCTGCCTTTCAGCTGACTGTACTTCATATGTAAAATGGCCCCAGATACCAATTTTCCTTCCTACAAAGGAAATGAGAACTCCATTTTTTCTTGAGTAGGGAGGAGAGATTGTGATGCATCATTGCTCTAGTTGAGAAGCTCCATTGGTACACCCCAGTGCAATATCTGTCTTTGATATTTTTCTTCTGGAAGTGGAATGTGTTTGCATGTGGGAGATTTTCTTAAAAACGTGCTGATGCACTGCAAAATTCATGCTGGTGGTGGGAGAGGAGACACTGCACGTAATATTTTCTGTCGGTGTGGGCATAGAAATGCAGAATTACCAAAAAGACTATACAATAAAATTAAACCAGAATGCTTTTTTCCTACTAATATAAACAGCACTGAACGTCACAACGTACAGAAAGAATTCCAACCTTCCAGAATGAGAGCTTCTGAGATCAGTGGAGGTTTGCCAAGTTTTTGATAGTATCCTTTTTTTTTCTGTATGACATGCTAAGGACAGAGCAAAGATGCTTGCTAAGAGACTTGTCCTCTCCTATCCTACATTCCAGGACTGCTGAAAAGGCAGCAGATCTAGCACAGTAGTTTCACAGCCTGTTAGTGAATTCCTTTGGTAACAGCTTTTCTCACTTTTCTAATCTATTCTCTCTGTCACAAGAATCTATGTGTAATAACATATTGCTTCTTAATTTTGGAGAGAAGGAGTAGAGGGGTGAGAAGGTGGGAAGAAGTTTGCCAGTAGCCAAATAACATCTCGTCTCTAATTAGGGGAGTTCCTCTGGGGAGAAAGAGGAACATCTTTTGTATTTG